TTTTTTTTTTTAACTAAATTCTTGGTCTTCTTTTATCTCCACAGAGAAAGTTAGAGAAATTCAAGAAAAACTTGATGCTTTCATTGAAGCCCTTCATCAGGAGAAATAAATTGTATTATGTAAGTAAAAGTTTTCTTACTACAGTGGTCCATACTAAATGCAAAATTTATATTTTAAGCTTATTTTATAGTTCATCATTTGATTTGACTGTATCCTATTTGCTCCTTTTTTGTAAGATATTATAAGATTCCTTTGTGTAACTTGATTGCCTTCTGGCTGAAATTAAAATATCCTCTAGAACTCATTTTGAACAGAAGCCACATTAGGTAACATGATATGCAGGTAGATGATAAAACAGTTCATAATATGCAGGTGGCTGATAAATTTTCTGCATGTAGAGAATTGAACTGTTCTTACTTTAATCCAATAAATGGCAAATTTATAGATGTCATCATTTTATTCTTCAGTGTTCATAACCAGTGGATAATTATGTGTATGTTGAGTATTCAACTTGCACGGTTTTGTTTATTTGACTTGATTAAAAACTTTAATAATTATACTTATCTTGTTCTATGTTTAAAAACATTTAGATAAACCTTCTTCCTGTTTAAAGTGCCATAGTTTTACACAAATAACACACACACACACATGTTATACAGTTTGCAAGCCACACAACCCCCTCATGCATTAGTTTCCTGTGCATGTTATATACATGTGTACGTTCTTTCCATGGATGTGTTACATGCAAAGAATGCAGTAACTTACATAGCCTTGGAATTTAATGTTCTTCAGAATATGTTGCCTCTCTTGTCTGATCCTATAGTCCTACCAGTATAAGGATGATCCCAATAAAATATTATATATCTAAAGAATTCCCATAGTAACATAATCCATTTTCAGTTACCTCTTAAGAGTTATAATTAGTAAATCTTTTGCTTTTATTGAAGAACTTTAAAAAGGAAAAACACTATAATTGTGACATTATCATTTATTTGAAATATTTAATTAATCACATTCTCTATGGTTCCTACCTATAGGCAGCTCTGCAACACATTCAGAACTGGAAGCAGTAGAAATGTTTAAAGGTTCACTCCCCAGCTATACTCAGTTCGTTCAGTTTGGCCCTTAAGCTAAACTACCCACTTTCCTCTCCTGTAGGGAAATGTGTTTGTGAAAACAAAGCAGAAAGGGAAGCACAACTCAGACTGTGCGTTGCTCAGAACAGTATCCCAGCAGGGACTGAGAGAGGGAGGAGTGAGAAAGCTGTGGGCTTTCAAGTAAAGCTTTATTTCTTTGTTTCCTTCATAAATTAAGACTGTGTAAGAGTCCATAATTCTTATTAGACTATATCTAAAAGTTAAATACTAATCCTCTTTAGCACAGACCAAAATTAATTTTGATGTTTTAAACTTGTTTATGCTACTAAATGTTTCTGTGTCTTCAGTGTATGAAAATGTATTTTAAAATCATAAAGTGTGATGGTATTATCTTCATCGTCATAATTACTATTAACACTTATTATTAGAGATAAACAGATTGAGAGCCTTCTTGGTTTGGAGCTGCTTCTCTTCAGCATCAAGGTTCATCTGATGTTTTTGTCAGCAGACAGCCTTGAGGGGAAGGGAGCTCCGTGAAAGCAGCAGAAACACCATTAAACTTACAAACTGAAATGCGAAGGTGTAAAACCAGCATGTATTTTGCATAATAGTCAGTGTCTCTTTCCTTCCTTAAGCTGCTTAGTGTGACATATAGAGTGAGTTGCCATTGCTACTGGAAACACGGCTTGCTGCCAAAGTCTGTCCCAGCAGCAGGCCAGGACAGTGCTAAGGGCTCGGGTGTGATGATCTTGTGTGCAGGGAGGTCCCTGGTATGGGGGGCCATCTCAACTTTCCTTGTTCTCTACTTCTCTAGAGTCTCTGAGGCCTTTTCCTGGGAATTAATGACCCTGGAAACCAGTATAAAATATCTAAGAATTGGAATATCTCTTTTGTACACTACAGATCCATTTAAAGAATAAATCTGACAAAATGGTAGCCTTGTTTCATTCTGACCATTTTATAAAAGCTACTGAGCATCCTACAGAATAGTAATAGTGTTGTTAGTTGCCATCAGGTCGATTCCAGTTCCTGGCACCTCCATCTGTGCCAAGTAGGGCCGCTCCCTGGGATTTTCAAGGTTGGAATCTCGCGGAAGGAGATATCCAGGCCTGTCTTCCAGGGCAGCTCTGGTTGGTTCAGACTCTGTATACATTTTGGGTAGTCATCAAAGCTTGACCATTAGCACTACTCAGGAACTACAAAGAATAATAGTACTCAAGGCTGTTTGGAAATGTTTCTCAATTACAGCCTTTAACGTGTGGAGTTCCTCAGCCTGATAATTTGTGTTATATCTGAACAGTTTTAAGTAATTATAATTCTAATACTTGGTGAAGATGTTCCTGCCTAAAACAGCCATGTACACATGCTTTCTCAACCTATCAATTTTAACGTAATAGGTTTTTTACTCTTTTTCTGTGAGAAAATAAAACAGTTTTTGTATGATGTTTTTATATCGTGTTTGTTAAAATGATGCTGATATTGTGATGGGTGATACTTTAAATGATTCTGATTAAATTGGCAAACTTAGGAAGGTACGCAATATTTTTTAATGACTTTGGTTAGGAAATTTTGTATTTGTCTTCCTCAGACCTAAATTTATGAAATGCTTTTATTTTTCAGAATTTCACTCACAATTGCCTCTGCAAAAGTATGAAGAAAGAAAACTCCAAAGCCTTTTGTCCAGCTTCTTACTTTTTTGCTATTCCACCTTTCTAAACATACAATAAAGTCATGGGATAAAAACAATGTGTGCGTGTTAGAGACGCCTTAACTGCCAGCTGCTCTTTGAGTGGAAGAACAGTGGATATGGCATTAACACCCTATTTTATTGTATCAAAGTGACAGATTGGGATAGTGTAAGTGCTATGGCCATTAAGTTCCGTACTTGAAGATAAGAAACTTCCTGTCCTGCTTGTTGTCTCATTTGTGGTAGGACTAGTGCAACTAATTTATCAACTAATGTTACTTGATGTCACTTTCTTTTCCAGAAAAATATGCTAGGTGTTTTGAAATAAAACCTGAAGTTATTGATTGTATATAGAATGATGGTAACCTGCTACATTATTTTCTGTGTCTGTAATGTTCTATACCCAGGAGCTATGAGTCCATAATTCAGTTTATATTCACCACATGAAATAAAACTGCTTAACAGAAGAACCTCTCAAATAGGTTAATTTGATTATAACAATTCAGTGTGTAGTCAAAGAGATTTCCACCCTTCATTGATAGCTTAGACATTTGCCTGAGAAGCTAAGTCAGTAGCAGTTTACCTGTTTGTTTCAGTTGATGTTTTGTATTCTCTGTATCCATTTGAAATTAATTCATTTTGGATATTGTATACTTAAGTTAAACTTTCTGTTAACAGTGTTTGTTTTTTGTTTTTTTCCTGTTGACAGAGCCATTGGATTATGACACAGGATGATTAAGATGATCAATTGATTTCATTTAGACTATTATCAGACATTTTAGGTAGACCATCAGGAGTTTGCTTTCTTTCATAAAAGACTGTTTTAAATAGAAGTGATTTCAACAATCAGAATAATGTGAACATGCTCTCAGCTGACTATTTAAAGAAAAAGTTAAAGTTTAATTCACTAAAGTTGAATTATGTCTTCACATCATTTTCATGTGTTTTATATAAATATTTTTTATTGGCTAAAGGACTTTAAAACAAAGAAATATGCCATTTTGACTTAAAATGGTTTTCTCATTTAACTCTGCTTTTTGCTGCCTTTTCATTTTCCTTATTGTAATAAAAATGGCCATCATGTGACAGTTTTTCTTTCACAATTTACTTAATACTCCTTCTCTTGGAATTATTTTTTAGTAACATTCCTTTGTGTCCCCCTCCCTACCCCCCTCCCCTTTTTTTTAAACATCAATACAGCTGTAATTGTCATTTCTCAAGATCTGGCACTTGAATGCACAGTTGAAGGATATCACAGAATATTTCAGGAATTGACAGTTCATGTCAACTCAGTAAATAGTTTTTTTTCTACTGTTTAATAAAAATGGATCCACTTTTAAGCAACTAGTCGCAGTATACATTGTTATTAGGTAGTTGAGTGGCAAGACCATTTTGTGCTCCCTGAGTCTGGGAGCAGTGAACAGAAAGGGAGCAGAGAGCTCTCGTGTTCTGCACAATGAATAGGATGTGACTCACTGGTTAAAAAAATCCCTCTCACCAGAGTGGGCCCAGAGGTGAACCCCCTCACCGAAGAAGATATCATGTAATGTTAATAAATTTTTTTGCAGTTGTAACACAACCACTTTACAACTACACATCTCTGTCTAGAGAAAAAAGGAAATAGGACCATATTTATTTCTGTGAGCTACTGTCTAGAAAAAATAACCTCAGCTATAGTTGTACAAACTTCTCTCAAGCAAAGGCTGATTGATGTAAGTCAGTACTTGTGTCACATGCCACAGCCCTTTGTACAAAAAATTTTTAAGGGTTGGGGGGATCTTCATTTCTTTGGAGAGATCAGTATTGTAATTTAAATATATAAATAGATTATATAAATTAATATTATTAAAAATTGCAGGAATCCAGACATCCCCCCAATCTCCCTCAGTAATATAGCTTCTTTTGGGGAATATGTATGTATGTGGTGTTTTTTTTTTTTTAGTTGATGTCATATTAAGCATGCTTTTTATTTGAAAGTTAGGTATTTATTAAATGCAGATGTTACTAAAAGAAATAAATAAAATTCCAGTTCTCAACAATAACGATGTGTGTCGTGTTTGTAGTTGAAAAATTAGAAATGATTTAAATTTTAACAAAAAATGCCATGTCAGATATTCAATATACAGAAGTTAAATTCTAGCTAGAAGAAATCTTTTGTTTTTCATGCCAGATTTGCAAAGAATGGAGTGAGCACTGCTTTGTATGGAAGACCATTGTAAATCAATTGTGTCCAGAATTTACTTGATCACAGTATCAATTTAAAAAAATCAGCATATATAAGACATGGACAATAGGAAATGAGGTTTTTGTCACAGGTGGGGCACTCAGCCTTTCTTAGTAGCTTTAATTTCATTTTCTCCTCTTTGTATTATTCTGCCTTTCTGGGCTTTAATCCAACAGCTTCCTTCCCACAAATAATTTAGCCTCCAAAATGCAAATGAAGTATAAGACTGGGGAACATTGTACAGATAGGTGCTTCGTAACCTTACATACAACTGGGTAGTTTCACATATGACATAGGACGACATGATTCAGAGTATAGCTGTATAAAATAAATCACTTAACTAGCTAATAATTTAGATTTATTTTAGATGCATTTATCTGTGAAAAGAAATGTATTTTGGCTTCCCAATAAAGAGGGTCAAAGCAGTATATGATTTCTGTTTTCTAAGCTGATACGTGCTATGGTTTAGCAGTACAGAATGTGCTTTAAAATATGCTTACATTTTGAACAATAATGGCTATGTGTCACTTAAATATTCAAAATATATATTGTTTTTATTTGTGCCCTGTGAATGAACTTTGTATTATTTTTCAAAACCTTCTTGCTACTTGCAGATGTTATTGCAACTTATATATCACCTGTGCTTGATCTAGGGTTGTTTATCTAGATGAATAATTTAAAAATATTTAAATCCCATTACAATTCTAGTATTGAAGAGCATCTTTTACGTTTTTTTCTGTTTTAGTGAGAGAGATCTGTATATATACATACAGTCACTATTTTACCCCCAGGAGCCGTGGTGGTGCAGTGGTTAAGAGCTCAGCTGCTAACTGAAAGATCCACAGTTCAAACCCACCAGCCTGTCTTTGGGAGAAAGATGAGGCATCCTGTTTCCATAAACATTTACAGCCTTGGAAACTTAAAAGACAGTTCTTTATTGTCCTTTGGGATCACTGTGAGTTGGAGTCAACTTCTGTGGGTTTTGGTTGGTTTATTTTGCCCCACACACACATAGCAACCCCCATTGGGTTTCCGAGGCTGCAAATCTACGGAAGTAGATCGCCCAGTCTTCCTTCCACAGAACAGCTGGTGAGTTTGAACTGCTGACCTTCCGGTTAACAGTCAAGTGCCTTATCCACGGTATAACCAAAGTTGTGGTCTAACAAGCCTCTTAGTACAACTGCCTTCTGAATACTTGAATTTCACATGCCTTGCATTTTCACATTTGTAATCCATGATCAACCAATGCGGTTTTTCACATTTTCTTGTGTACCATCAAACTGATTTCTGACTCATAATGACCCTAAAGGACAATGTAGAACTGCCCCATAGGTGTCCAAAGCTGTAACCTTTACAGAAGCAGATTGCCACATCTTTCTTCCATGGAGTGACTGACAGGTTGGAACTGCTGACCGTTCGGCTCGCAGACAAGTGCCCAACCACTGTGCCACAAGGGCTGCTTTTTCTATCTTCATACTCATTGAAACATTTTGGCATTTTGTTTGATAAAATATGTAAAAATGCTTTCTAATTGCACTTGGTTGCATGGCCATCATTTTTATTAATGACGCTAACATACTTAGTCATTCATGAGGTTTATGCAAAAGTCAGAAACCTTAATGTTTTTTGCTGCTGTGGAGGACAAAATGCTTTCAGGTCATATGTTATCCCCATGATCAGTTAGGGATCAGACTGTTGTGGTCCCTATAGGATTTTTATTGACTTGCTTTTGGAAATAGATCATCCGGCCTTTCTCCCTGGTCTGTTTTAGTCTAAACTCTACTATAACCTGTTCACCATCACAGCAACATGCAAGCCTTCTAGGACCAACTGGTAGTGGCTGTGCATGAGGTACTTCAGCTGGCAGTAGGTACACACAGAAGATGAGAATTCTACCACCTGATTATAAAATATGTTCACTCATTTTTTAATTCCTCCCAGAACTTTGCTCATAAAGGTTGCTTACTAAATGTTGATTGTTACATGAGTAAGTAAGACAAAGTATAGATGTGACTTCTCCAAGATTCATAGTTAGCTAAAGTCAAAACTAAGGAAAAAAAAAAAAAAAAACAACATATATATAGTCCAGAAGGAGTTCTAGTGGCATCGTACCTAAGGCGTTTGACTGCAGACCAGAAGGTTGGCAGTTAAAACCCACCAGCAACTCTGCAGAAGTAAGACTGGGCAATTTGCTTCTATAAAGATTTACTGCTATGAGTCAGAAACGACTCAATGGCAGTGAGTTTGGTTTAGACCCCATCTTGGGTTTCCGAGGTCATAACTCTACAGAAGGAGATTGCCCAATCTTCCTTCCTAGAAGTGGCTGGTGGGTTTGAACTGCCAGCCTTCTGGTTAGTCAAATACCTTAGGCACTATGCCACCAGAGCTCCCTTTTATATAGTAAATAGTAACTGAAGGATGGGATATTTGTATCTAGAGAGCAAAAGTCAAGAGACTGAATTCCTTTAGAATGTGCACAGACAACCTGTTTCAGTCATATAATTTATTCCACTTATCAGTCCTCGCACAGACCAAACAATGTGAGGCTCAAAAAGTAGTTGTATTTTAAGTTTTCATCCTGCGTTCAATTCAAGTTCAAAATCGTCATGTATCAAAAAAGTTTGAAGAATTTACTTAAGACTTAACAGCAATTTAGGTGAAATAACTATCATGTGCTTGTGAATAATGCAAATACATGTTTTAAAGTCATCAAGCATTCTCAGTGTGTTAAAATTATGACTCAGCACACATTAGACTAAGTTGATAGATGTAGAAAACATAAGGGTCAAGACAAGTACCACAAAATTGCTCTAGGTTAAAAAGTATGACAATATCAGTTCAGCTTGAATGCAGGTGATCTTTGGCCTGAAGAAGACAGTTTCATAATGTTTAGGGTAAGAAAAACTTGCATAATAAGGCATTAGGTTAATTCTATATCCTGATTTAATATTTGAATTTCTTGCTTGAAATTTGAGAATACATGCATGATTGCTCTCTGGAAGACTTCTTATGAATTAGATTCCCCTAGAGGACCAGTGTTAAGGTTCATTTGAGGCCAACTCACTGATTCATTGAACTCATATGCAAGTTCAAGTTTAAGCTGAAGAAAATTAAGACTAGTCCATGAGAGCCAAGACAGGATATT